ATTATATGAAAACAATGAGAGAAGCTGAATATTTTTGTTAACGGTTATATTTTCTTTGTATTCTGAAATTTTTTCGGTTGGTTTCTACTCGAAATTTCTGGACGAGAGATTTCACAGAGAATTCAATTTGAACTACTGAAGCGTTTGCCAAAGTACTGAATGAATCTAGTGGTAACATAATATGGGATTTACGTAAAATTATCGTTTCTTTTGCAAGAATTTTCCTGAATTGTGTGAAGATTCATTTTAATATTAATTTAATATTAGATAATGAAAATGCAATATCATTAACGTGTTTTATGAAATGATGTATTATAGAATATTCGGAGTTGAAAATTCAACACAGTTGTAGTTGTGATTACCAACCGAACTAGTTACATCATCATCTCAACTCAAGACAACAAACAAATCAGAGTATAAAATGCTGTATAAGAAATCATCAAAGTATTATCCGCCATATTGAGTATTTCTTCCACCATATTTTGAACTTCAAAAATATGATTATTGGAGCTTCTCCAAGACTTTAGCTACAGTTTCGTTCCGAAGTTTTAATGAAAATGTCGTCGAATATATCGCTCAACATTTCTATCATTTACTCTCTCCAATTCATCTTTGATTCACTAATATATTCACTAATTTATGAAAATACTAACTTATAGTATAAATTCACCTACCGGTATGGGAAAACAGTGATGAAAAGATAATTTCGTTTTATGGACGCGTCTTTTTCTTTAACGAGGCTGGCGCCCCAGTTGGAATATTTTAAAATCCTTTCTTATTGCACATCTAAAATATAAAACGAACCCACATACAAAATTTCAGCCTCCAAAAATATATTTTCATATATACACGCGCTCCTTTTATTCCAAGGTGGGGCGCCCCAGTAGGAATATTCAAGAATCCTTTCCTATTGCACATCTACAATATAAAACGAAGCTACATACAAAATTTAAGCCTTCAAAAATAAAGCGGTACAGAAAAACAGTGATGAAAAGCTAATCTTCATATGTAAACGCTCCCCTAGGACGATGCGCCAGAAAAAAGATATCTCAAATCAAATGTTGTTGGAAAATACAGAAAACAATTATATCGATGCATTAAACCATATTTTATTTCTGATATCAGTTTTCACCTATTATATCATTTACATGTCATTTGGTATCATTGTTTGAACTTTTATATATCGATATTATTGTTCCCAATAATATCGCACCGGGTGCTAGATTATGAGGATTTTCTCCATCATTTGTATTCTATACATTTACAAATGGAACACACCCCGTGCCTCCAAATTATGGACATATTTATAAGAAACAGTATTACTAAAAATATTCCACACTAGCGAACCGACTCCATGTGGTTGGCAGAATCGAGGGATCATTGGGCAACAAAGAATCCACCCTGGGTATATTCATAGATATCGAGGAAGAGTTTGATAAAACAACCTTTCCAACAATTACACTCCAGGAATATACCCCTGGTAGTAGGAGAATGGATATCAAGATGCTCTCTAGTAGAGCAATAAGTATCAATGTAGAAGACATCACAGTGAGAGGACTGGTCATGAGGGGATGTCCACAAGAAGGAGTCTTATCACCCCTTCTCTGGAACATAATTCTGGATACCCTGATTAATCACCTCAACAATAATGGATTCTACAGAATTGCATGTGCACACACTGTGCGATAGATGGATGGGTTCAAATTAATAGAAACATGGTGTAAGGAACACTCACTGTCGATCAATCCCAAGAAGATTGAGATGGTCCTCTTCACCAGGAAAATAAGTTTATCGGGTTTCAAAGCTCCCGAAATCTTTAAAAGCAAACTAAACTTCTCTGAAGAGGTGAAATACTTTGGTACTTTCCTCTACAGGAAGCTAACATGGAACTCTCACCTACAGAGTAGAGCAAGGAGAGCATATGTGCTTATGAGCAATGTCCGAAAATATTGGGACGCACATGGGGTCTTTCACCCGGTGTGGTCACCTAGATCTACACTGCAATAATAAGACCTACGTTAACGTACGGAACCATTCCATGGAGACCGAAAGTTCTACAAGCAACGGCCATCCAAAAATTATATCAAATACAGCGACTGGTTTGTTTAAACATCACAGGAGCCATGAGAACATCAACAACCGTGGCATTGGAATTAATTACGGGTCTGACCACTCTGGACGTTAAGGAGGTTGCGTTAATGGCCATGTTACGATTGCGCAACCTCTGCTGCAGGCAACCATAGATGCAATTGAACCTAGGTTTGTCTTTAATAAATCCTACAAAATACAAATAAAACTGAACACAGAATCAGATGCTACAAATGCAATACGCATATGTACAGACGGCTCAAGAACCAAAGAAGGCTCAGGATGTGGAGTGTACTCCAGATCACTAAGCCTAAGGATTGAGTGGAGAATGGCAAAAAATACCAGCGTGGTCTAAACAGAAGCGGCTGGACTAAGAATTTTAGGACCCAGTGGCACCTACGGCCTGATGACTTCGACAATTACGGAACTAGCCACCCATGCTCACCCATGCTAAATCCCTAAAGAGATGGGATGAAATCAAAGGATGCAATCTTACCAGAATTACTCTGGACGACCCTGGGAAGCTGGCGCCGAAGAAATATCTGGCAATGACCAGGAAAAATCTACGCTTAACAGTAGAATTTCTGACTGGCCACTGTCAACTAAGGAAATATCTCCATAATATGGGGCTAGTGTACACACCTCTATGCAGGATGTGTGAACAGGAAGTTGAAACTGTCAGACATGTCCTATGCGAGTGTCAGGAGTTATCATCAATAAGAGCGTGTGTCTTCGCCGAGTCTTGGCCTACACCTGCCGATATAAAGGAGATGTCTCCCAGCGACCTCTCCACCTTCCTGGAAAGGACAGGATGGACGATGAACTAGGCGGACAACTCCTCGGAATGATGTAGAATGGGTCACATGTGGCCTAAGTGTTGTGGGCTTCCTCTCACCCTCTCTACTCTACAGATACAGAACAAACACTATTACCAAAAATATTCCACAGTGGCGAACCGGTTTCATAGAAGTTACTTGAGCAAAAGTATATTCACAGCTATCAGTATTGATTTAAAAATCGGTGAATACCTGTCTACCCAATGTTAATCTACAAAATGATTCACTACGCAATCAAAATGCAATTACAACCTTTTTTCATCACACGTCTCGCATCCGTTTATGAGGCTGTTTGAGTTAATTTTGTCTCGTGATAGTGTTAATTAATGCAATAACTCCTAAAGTTTTCATTTAAATTCTATGGTTTACAGGAATCAATAAATTATACACTCAAAACGTCCTGTTCTATGACTCTCCGTTGGTGAAAAGCGTATAAAAACCCATTGGGTAGTTGTTGACTTCATCGCGTTCAGACAGACAGACAAACGCTGCGGAGACACTTTGTTTCATGATATGAAGTTATAGTGGGTTATACTTATCTCTCTCATGATATATTGGCTGGATAAGAAGCTGCTGACGGTAAATATTGACAAAACGCATTACCTACCATTCTGTCATAATGCAGCTGGAGCACCCCTGTTCGATTAATTAACAATAAAAACTCATACACCTTTCAATATCTTTCCTGAAAAGAAAATAAAATACTTAGGAATAATTCTAGACACCAGTTTGAAGTGGGACCTGTTTATTGAATATCCCGTCAATAAATTAAGGACCATTTTATTCAAATTTAGGAAACTTAAAGAACTCCTACCTCTAAAATATCTCAAAACATACTACTCGCTTGTGGAAAGTCGTATATGCTATAGAATAGTAGTGTGGGGAGAAGTATTGAATAGTCATATTCATCAAATTGAAATTATGCAAAGGCGTTTTCTCAAATTAATATTTCGTAAAAATGGTAGGTATCCCTCTAATGGATTATACATCGAAACTCGCATGTTACACATACGACAGTTGTATTTTTCATGCTCTAGCACTAAATGTCATACAAAAAGACATACGGCATCGCTTTCTTCACATCAGTACCACACCCGCCAAAGAGATCAGTATACTACATCCCTAATGGTCAGGGTCGTTACTCAAAGATCATTTGCTTACTTTGCGCCTAAACTCTATAACCGAATACCTGAAAATATAAAATCTATCTCAAATATCAATCGTTTTAAAAAAGAGTTGAAAGAGCATATTCTTCAAAGTCGGAGACTTGAACTTCTACGTCTATTTGATTAGATGAGAAAAAACCACACGTACATTTGCTATATTACCCACTTACAATTCTATAATACACATATGTTTATATATGTATGTATATATGTATATATATATATATATATATATGCACACTATCGTTTTGTTAATATATATCACATCCATTTTCAACAATATCCATATCGATTTCAACATGTTTTTATATATTGTTGCTAGTACGCGTATTTTATAATTGTGATTTTATACTCAACTGTCAATTTTATTTTATGTTTGTATGATTTTATATTTAAATGATATTATATGTTAAAACTGACTACTTTTTCATATTTATACTTATATTTGTGATTTTATATCATCTTGTGGGTTTTTAATTGCATATACTGAGTATTTCATTTACATATGCGAATCCCTTTTCCATAATTCATTCTCACACGTTCATCATACATACATTTTTCCATTTGGATTTTTTTTTAACCACATACAAGCAACATCTGATGCTTCTGTGGTATCTACGATGTTTATTCAACCATATTAGTTATTTCTTTTTGTGATTTGAACCTGAATATTATCTTATTATAGTGATTTGACAAGAATGCCATAACTGTTTTCTATAACATATTTTTTGTGAATTTTTCTACTTGCATAGTAATCAACTAATATGAATTCCAAGTATTGAAAATTATAAAACTAACCGATATGAAACATGTACGTATCCTTATAGTCGTCAGATGTATTCAAATTCCATTCGTATCGCAAAGGCATTTCTTCCGCTCCACTAACTCGTTTTCTTTGATTTTTTTCCAGGGAGCTTCCTCCAGCTTAGTAGTAAAATTCGCCGATACAGAAAAGGAACGCCAACTAAGACGTATGCAGCAGATGGCCGGAAACATGAGTCTTCTCAACCCCTTCGTGTTCAACCAATTCGGTGCTTACGGAGCCTACGCACAGGTAAATCTCAACAGAATTCGGAATTCTTCGCTCCCGAGAGGGTCCTTTGAAATTAATATCCAAGTTTCCTTTTATCTTTTTCGGATAGAATGATTCTTGGATACTTTGCTGATTTAATTCAATCCTTAATTTAATGAGGAGCAGGAATCTAGTGGTCAGATATTTGCTTGTTTCTGCAGAGTGCTTCGGGAATAGTTACTTGGTTGGTTTGGGTCAATGATTTCGCAGAATATTGGAATATATCTAAATAAAGTGGAAGTAATCGACTTAAATAATAAAAAACCATTAGTGTTTTCCAATTATTGGTAAATCAATAGCCAAAGCGCAACTAAGGATGGGAGCAATAATAATACAATATTAGGTTATTCAATACTAACAAATTTGAGAAACGTGTAATTCTCAAGTAGTGATTCCTGGATTATTTATAATTTGAGAGATGGATTTCAATTGTGCAGTGTTTCTTTATTTCTCATTAAAACATATTGTTGAGTCCTTCAACATTTTAACTGAGATGATAGTCTCGTTTTCAGAATTTCATGATAAGATAGATTGAGTAAAAGCAGTTCAACAAAAGCATATACGGTAAACCTATGCAAGCAGCATGAACAAAAAATCTCTTCAAACATACAAAATTCAAATGAAAACACAAAAAATCATCCCAATAACCTAAAAGGTGATTTATCTGCGATATAAAAGTCCGAATAGTGAAATAAAAAATCAATAATTATTGAAATAGATAGATTTCAGTGATTTTTTACGTTAATGATCTGTTTAAAATCTGTTTTTCCGTTAATCAGCTGTCGCCCCCATACGAATGACAACTCTCAGAAGTTGAGAAACTTGTGCGAGCATCTTAAGGAATATGAATTTCTATAAGATGCTTGAACTCTCCACCAGCTAGAAATAGCGCAGACTTATCACTCAGTCGCCTCCTGATGGGTCCAGGAAGGTTGGACGCTGAAAAATGCAGAACTGAAGATCTCACAGAAGAGACCATGGGTTCCATGGAGACAGTTGGTTCCAACAACGATGTACTCAGCGACATCTTTACCGTAGAAAGGTTCTTGTGAGGAACCGGTGATCCCACATGTTTCGAAAGATGGAGGTAGCCTTGAATTTTTTACCTTCCTTTCAGAAATTGACGCTCTTGTTGGGAAACGACTTACATTTGAACGCGAGCATGGGCAATGGATCTATCATCGAAGGTATGTTCTGTGTTTGTATGCCTGGAATGAAAATAATTGCTCCAGTGACGTTATTTGAAGAGGCTTTGAAAGTAGTCCTGAGAAAGCCATATTGGTCGAAAAGAAGAGGGATCGCTGTACAAACTGCAGGTTCTGGGAGAAACAGTGCGAGAGAACGCATGCAGAAAATCCTGAATTCTGTGGTAGGATAGATCGAGAAGAATAACTCCACAAAAGCCCATCTAGGTTGCCTACAGTATCATTGACCGGAAGGATCAAGAAAGAGAGACCAGGACTTTTAAAAATCCGGTTTGAGGGTATACAATTTTTGGAGAAGGGTGTGTTTTCTGTCGATTCCAATTGTACCGATTCATATAGAAGGGGCATCACGGGTGACATCACTTCTCTTCTTTATTTGCAAAGGAAAGACGCGAAAAAGGCCAACGTCCACGAATCGACTCCGTTCGTTCGAGTTCATCCTCGTAGGACAGTTGAGTCAAAACTAGTTTTTTGTCTCGAAATCATAGATGACGTGTTCACAGAGGAAGATGTCATATTATTTTCTTGTCTTTTAAGAACACTGGAGTCCAGAAATGCATGCAGTACCACTGACGAGATTTATGGGGGTTAGAAACAGCGCGTTCTGGTGTTGTGTTTTTGGTGTAACAATTGAAAATAGGACAATCATTATGTAATAGTTGAGTGTTTTCAAAAATATGCTACTTTTTCGAAAAATAATTGGCTGTTTGACGAGGAATTGGTCATCTTTAATAGTAAATGAACGAAATATTCATCTTCACAAACTAATAATTCTTCAGGAATCGACTAAAAATTATTCCCATTGAAATTGAGATTAATCGATATAATAATTTTTGAAGGATATAGTTAGTGCGTGCACTAGACAAGTTGTCCGTCGAAATACTTTTAGTATTCTCGTGTATCATCAGTATCGGTACATTCTTGTCATATTAGCAATTGCGTGAAATAATATTTGTACCTGACTTTCTGACTTGGTTTTACTTTTCAACTTGGTCAAGACTTTGGTTTTGTTTGATATATAGAAATGGAAAAAATAATTTTCGTACCGACAACAACAACTTTTTATTTACATATTACCCTCTCAATTCTTTTCATACAGGATTAAATAGGAAAATTAACACAAACATACTATAAAATTGAATAAACAAGATGAACAAAGACAAACGTTTCAAATCAAACTTCCGCAGGAACACTCCCTCCCAGTGATGAAATCTTATTCATCACTATCGTTTATGTTTATTAACATCCAGAAGACAAAGTTTGATAACAGGTCTTCTGTATGTACCAATATTAATTTTAACATAGACCAATCTTACATTGCCATCTGCACCTGGATATGTTGCAGTGACTACACCTTTGGGCCAAGTATTTCTCAAGAATTACCTGTCGACTATAATCACCATGTATCCAACCTTGATTTTTCTTATGGGTGATGTGCACCATTTTGTTATTCTGGTTAGTATCGACAAATATTCTCTGATACAACGGCGCCAGAAATGATCAGCGAGCAATTGAGATTTTCACCACTTTTTCCTTGTGAACAAGTCATTTTCTTCAAACTTTCCTACAACTCGTGCCCAATAAAAATGGTTTGGTGTTAAAGCTTCAGCATCTGAATGATCCAATGATACATGGATGAGGGGGCGGCTGTTCACAATATGTTCAGCTTCTACAACTTCTTCTCGTGGTATCTTCTCCTTCAAAATGTCCCGTAGAGTTGTTTTAATTGACTTGATGAGTATTTCCCAACTGCCTTCCATGTGTGAAACAGAGGATGGAATAAAGTAAAACTCTATATTGTCGGTGGTCAGTTGAGAAGTGATTTTATTCGGATCAAAATCTTCTAGAGACTTTCTCAGTTCTTTATTGTCACCTCTCAAATTTGTCCCATTGTCAGACATTATTTTTTTAGGACACCCTCTTCGTCCGATGAGTCTTCTTATTGCTATTAGAGCTGAGGCGGTACTTAATGATTGGGCAATTTTCTGATGGACTGCACGAGGTGCTCATGCAGGTGAAATGTACTCCATATCTCTTCTCCCGTCGGCGACCAATTGACACCTGCATTGGTTCAAAGTACTACATACCTACTATGGTGAAAGGTCTGACACAAAAAGTTGAACGAGAACTGGGTAGGGTTGCCATCTCTGGAATTACTGGCTGACCTCTTTTTTGCACCACTGACAGTGGCTCCAAGAACTTCTTACGGCTGACCTAATATTGAGAATTCAATATCGTTATCGAAGCTCGGTCACCACATACTCTTGGCCATTTTGGGGTTTATGATAATTGGAAATTTACTGTCTGTGCCTGAATCGTTAGAGTATACTACTCTGCTTTTCAACATTGAAACTCCTTCAGAATCTAAAATCGGCGAAAGTTTATATATTCTGTTAGATGAATCAACTATTTTTCCGTTTCGTAGTGAATTAATTTCTTCGGAAAAATTTTCGATTTGAACATATTTCATCCAAATTGTTTCTGTGGTATTCATCTCCGAAGTTTGAAGTTCGGCATTGTTTGATGATCTCAACATCTAAACTGTTGCTTGAAGTAATTTCACCATGACCATGACGAACATCTTTTCACATCTGTTTAGATCTGAGTTGATTTGCTTGGTGACACCAACAAAATTTTTCTTCACTTCTGATATATCCAGAGACTTTTGGTCATTTTGAGACGATATCTGCCTTCTTCATATTCAAGAAACTGAAGACCATTCAGCCATCTACTACCAGTTTCCTACAAATATAGGTTATTGCTCCTTGTAGCATTATCAGCGATATTTTTTTTGTAGGGACCTAATTCCAATGTGTAACGTCTGTGTTTTCGATTATTTCTGCCACTCTATGTGCTACAAATGGCTTGAAAATCACGGTATCGGCCTTGATGATCCATCCAATGACGGCTTTTGAATCCGTCCAGTGAGTCAATTTTGATATTGTGATTTTCTTTGATGCAAACTGCCAATCTACTCATAATACGTGCAAGGTACTACAAAGATGGAAACTACTCTGAATAAGTACAGTACAAGATCTATTTACCATTTACACTCTTCTATAAAAAGAACATAGCTATAATCTGAAGTTTCTGACCAACAAGTACCACTGAACGGTAGCAGCTGGATTGCATGCCTCCGTTTCTCTCACTTTATATTCAGCGTAACATTCCCCTGAAAAACTCGATCGTCTAGTTTTCCCTTTAATGACAATGTATAAGGCATCAACACACTAATAATGACACGAATTCAAATTATATTTCCCTGGAGTGAGGGGCCTCCATTCCCTAATTTCGTAAGCAAAGTCACGCAACCACTTTGGAAACACTACAGTTTATTAGTACTTAATTTCGAGGGAATTGGTTATTAAAATCCAACTTTGAGGGTAGAAATTGAAAGCTCAATAATGATTCCAATAATGCTATACCGGTGCTGTGCAGGAGTTCTTTGAATCGTCGAGGACTTCTAATTAGTTTAGTTTCCGCAAAGGCGTCCTATATGCCAAAGAAAGTTTTTGTTCTTCGTTAGAGAGTGAGAGCTTGACAGGTGTATATCTCTAATACTGTATCTTTATTCTACATCATTCAAAAGTTTTCACGAAATTTTGAAGAGTTCGTTCAAATTTCCCCTCTCTTCAATACTTGTTGCGAATCAAGTTTTTTATGAGGGTTATTCATTTTAATTGTATGTATCACAGAGTCAAGTGGATTCCTCATCATTTGCCTCATCATTCATTTGAATAACTCTGCTTATTCTTGATTACTCCTGGATTTTTCCTTTATTTGAAAATATTATTATTTATCTTAGAGCTCACATTATATTTCTACAATGGTAATTGATATACTCTGCACTTTACAATGAAGCAAGTTTAGCTACTGTTTATCTCTGCTCCTTCAAGGTAGAAAACAACTTCGAATTTTTATTAACTTTCCACGGACTAATTCAGTCATTTTTCGTAATAGAATATGACTTCATTGAAATAATTCGTATTATCATCAAAATTGGTATCAATATCTACCTTTCGTCATAATCATGTTTGTGTTATATATTGTTTATGTGTTATTCAGGAATGTAGAAGAATTATCTGAAAACTCCAAATACCAAATGTAATAGACCATCACAATTTCCAAAAAACGATACCATGCAGAAATCAATGCCCAAATTTTTTCATTCATAAGTATAATCTAAGTTTCAAAAATGACTGTGATGTCATTACCTTACCCATCCTCCCAACCTCGTTCCAAAATATAAATGATATTTGTGCAGCATTTATTTTCACTCGATTTTGAGAAGCTACTGTCAAAAAACTTATGAGAAATATAAAATAAATCAAAATTGACTTCCCGAATTATGAAGAAACTCGACAAAAGTTATAATAGGCAAATCTTATGTCTATAGAAATAAACTGATTGAGAGAAAAAAATAGTCTGTGAAAAAGCCAACCAATCTTGTCGCCAAAAAGTTGAGAAATTCTTTCAGTAATCCCAAAAAATTACGATACAATTCTAAAATGACTTCATCGTTTTTGTTTGTATGCTAGAATGCAATTCATTTATAATTTATGTACTACAAATTTCCTTGAGGATTCGGCCAAATTGCATTATCAAAACAAAGGAGACTTTGTTGAATGTCGAGCAAAGCCCTCAGCCAGATAACATCTGAATATGGAATTAACGTTGGAAAGTAGTGCTCCTACCAGAAATCGATCCCGTCAAAGCTGAGGTTATAAAATATGAACTTGATCAAGTTACGATTATGCTTCAGAGGATTCAGAGTATATTAAATAATTGGAACCTGTCGCTTTGAGTCTCTATTCGCTGTGAACTAAGCTCTCTTGCAAATTCGAGTACAAGTATATATAGGTGAAATCTCCTTGAGGATATCCAGGAACAAAATGAAACGAAACTAATCCGGTTTCTGTATTTCTGAGTAAATATTTTCTGCTGGTATTCCAGAGAAATTACACAAAGATTTTAGGAACGAAATGGTGAAATTTGAAAAGCATACTTCATGTTTCCTTTGAAGTTAATATCCTCCATTTCATTTCAAAACGTTTCCCTACGTATATTCAAATATATATATTATCCATAAAAGAACATAATGCGAGAGAAAAGTGCTCGAGAACACTAGCGTAAATAATCATGTAGATACTTTGAAATGTTACCAAAACAAGGTACTTCTCCAAATGAAGAATTAATAATGTCATTAGTCGAATCATTAAAAGTTTCTATGTGCTAGTAATTGCATTCTGTTTCATTATTATGATGAAATTCATCTGATTTAACGTATTTAATTAGTTTCAAGAACTACTAGAAACCACTTTTCTATATATCTACTCTATGGGTTTCCTTGAACAAATCATTCAAATCTAAAACTAACTAATAGGTACACTTCATTGTATGATTTTCATTATAAAGGGTGTTACAAAATCCGCGACACGTATTTCGCTATACAATAGCTTTTTTGAGCGTGAAATTTAGATTTATTTTACGCTCGAGAAAGTTATTGTATAGCGAAACACGTGTCGCGGTTTTTGTAAAACCCTTTATAGTGAAAATCATACAATAAAGTGTATTACTTAGTTTCAATATGGATTTTAAACATCAGTTTTAGTCTAAATCCATATTCAAAACCAGTTATTTTACCAAAAAATTACCACTTTTCAAAGATTTTAACATAGATTTATGTAAAGTTCTTCATAACAAATGAATCAGTTCATTTAGACCAGACAAATTTTCATTAACTTCCAAGAATACCCATTAAAATATTGAAAAGTAACTGTCTGAGGTTTACAAATAATAAAAAAGCGGATTATAAGTATCCACAAGTATCCCTCTGAGCGGTGCGATATCGCAATTTGCAACGGCCTAGTGTAAAGTTATTTTTATGCAGATCATATTGCTATGACAACTGTTGATTTCAATTGTTTGAACCGAAAAAATGTATCGTGTTGCTCTTTTTGCCAAAATACGGAAAAGATAAAATAAACCCTTAGTCCATTTTTTTGATGGAAACGGATTCGACAGTCATCAGTACACAAGTGAAAAGTATGCTTTCTGCAGCTATCAATCATAATAGTTACTTCAAAATCTACTATTTCTGCAACATTAGAGTATTTAAGTCTGATATTTGTGATGCACCGTTTGGAATCTTTGGTGAAGTAATGAATATTACTGAAGTAACCAAACCGTTATTTTCAACACTTCGACACGTGTTTCAATCACCAGGCGATCATCTTCAAGAGGAAGATGAGTTCAATCTTTCTCTTCAATCACCAAGTGATCATCTTCAAGAGGAAGTGTTAAAAATAACGGCTGAACTCTACGAGATAGATCAAAATAATGTGCTACAGTATTATACACCTTGAAAACGTCTACAAAAAAGGCCACGATGGTATATGTCTATCTCTAAGGGATAACCCACAATGACCATTTTTCGTTAATGACTTATTTAGGAAACGAGTTTAAGCAATACAGCAGTTAAGTACCTTATACATGGCTTGGGATGTGGAAGTTGATCAAACAGGCCATCGGATGCCTGATGCTTCCACGTAGCCCCGCTGGATATGGGAATGATAGAATCATTTGTGGTTCTGTTATTCCCTAACTGAATGGCATCCCAAAGATGGCTTGATCATAAGGTGTGTTTATCCATGCCAAGAGGATAAATGACACTGAGCTTATCAGCTGTCTCTACGGAACTTTCAAAATACCGGGCGCCCTCTCGTCGTAGCATCGCCTTGTCACGGTAATGCGGGGCTCTGCCGTGATTGACCTTCTTTCCCTAGCTACTCGTGGGACTTTCATGGACAGACTAAACTTAAAAATTCTTTCTGACGCTGAGTCCACAGAGAAGATGGATGTCGAGCTTACGACTCCAACTGACCTCCCTGTAAATTTAGATCAGGAGCGAGAGCTTCTCAAGTCTGCAACTCCTGATCCAATAACTGAACCTAAAAAAAGAGGTTTGGTGGTGCCGCAAGGAAACGACTGAGTCGTCTCCTCAAGAGCGGGGTACCTTATGAAACCGCCTTGCACCAAATTTTTGAGCGACGTACGCAGAATTTGTCTCAGGTGGAGAAACAATCTCCTCATGCATGTAATTCAAATAAATATTTTCTGAGATGTTACATATTCAAAATGCAGGAACTTAGCGATTGAGGCGGTACCGGCCAGGGAGCTGGCGTCGCATCCTCATAAATAGCGCGTCAAAGACCGTGCTTCGCTCAATAGCATTGCACCCGTGCCGAGCCGGGGCGGGTTGCTAGCAACTCACTAAGTTAAAGACTGAGCATATTTATTAAAAGTAATTTGAATCGAGAAAACATATATAAGTGTTTTCCTTTTTTGCCAGTCAGTATACTTTGATGATCACGAAAGGGGACAAACGTTCTTACAACAAAAAAATCGATGAACATTTAAACACATATCAAATGTTTAGCAAACTACCATTCACAAAAAAGTATTCATCTAATAATACAAACAGAAATCATTCAATAAAAACTTCGATAAACTAAAATCAGGAGGATTTATTTGCAAATAAGCGAAGGCAAAAGCCGATGCTTTGATTATAGATACTGCAATAGAGTTTGCAAAACAAGACGATAAAACTGAATGAGAACTCAAACATCTCAAGCAACCTCAATAATGTTGAACATCAAAAATATAAGTCTTCATTCTATAGTGACTTTCACTGAAAATTCTACCAAGTTCGAAAGCATCTCCATAAAAAACACTGGTCGTTTTTTTTTCATTCATCAAATGAATAAACTACTATAAATTGGCTATTCTTTTTTAGTTTTAATCTTACAATAATGGTGAAGTTTCGAGAAGTAATATTCCATTCCCGAGACCATTGAAGTATCGATCAGACTGTTTATTAACTGATTCTGTTTTCAATTAGCAACAAGCCGCAATCATGGCAGCAGCAACAGCACAAGGAACGTACATTAATCCCATGGCAGCGATAGCAACGCAGCTACCACACGCTGCAATGAATGGTATGGCGAATTCTGCACTTCCCCCATCATCAGGTAAGATTTGTTTCACTTCGTTGAAATGTTTCTGCTTATCTTGTCTTCCAGATTTCACATCACTCCATATCAGACAGTCTTATGTGTAATTCCAAATCAATCCTCAATACTCGTTTTTTATAGTATCGGAAAGTAAACTTTCTGAAGACTTTCAACTAGTTGTGATCAGTTTTGCGCATGAATGTCGTACTATAAGATATACAGAGGAAATTTCTGTAGAAGCTTTTCCTCCAGCACCAGTTTCGTAATGTTTGCTTTTGCTCAAGCATAAGAGACACTGAAGCTCCAAAAACACGTCATCATATACTATTGCTAACGTACACTCTGTCACAATCTTAACCCTGATTTATGGTTGACAAAAATCCCCTACTTCTACAAACTATATAAGTCTAACACTCGGCCTATCCTGGTAAAATTAGGTGATTACACTAAATGAAACAATTGCTCCACGAAATAAATCAACGTGACTAAAAAACAACATCAATCGATTAAAATATAATCGTTTCTGAATCGCTTTGAAAGACGCCTGTCCTTCTTGGTCTATGACTTCCACAGGTACCTTCTCCGGCTGTTATTTCTTCTTTGGATATTTCTTTTTTATCATATTCAATTCTCTCTTCGTCACTGGTGTCTGTGACATTCATTATTTATTTACTACTTACGTTTTCGTCATAATGTTCGGCTGTATTTCCAAACTTAGTATTACTCCATCAATTGTTTTTGATATATCGATTGTCATCCCAAACACTTGTGCTAGAAATATATTTGAATTGATGGAACTAGTGCAATTAATTATATTGTACAGTATTTTCATTTCCAGAAATGAGGAAATGTATATATTGAAAGTTTGTTTTCATGTGAATATTTTCCTCGATTCAAGATTTGTAGGATTCTGTTCATAAAAACCGCTTCCGTAATAGCCCAATGAAATGATAATATTATTCATTATCAAAAATATTGTATCTAATGAAATGAAAACGAAGAAAAAAATGAAGGTTATGCAGTTTCTTCAGAAATTTACAGCAATTGATTGAACTTCTTTCACCGAATAATTGCACATAAATAAGATTTGATGTTAACATTAATATTTTTGAAACGTAATTATCATTTTTAGAACACAAAAATTTCGATACATTTCACAGATAACATAAAATAATAAAATACATCCTACATACATTTCTATACCGTGTGACACAGACTTATGGTACACCCCCCTTTTTTTCTTTATTCTTGCACCTATTTTTACGGAACTATCAATACTGATTATGCTTACAAAGAGGCACTTTTTGACGTAATGTGAGATTTTTTTCAACTTCCGGTTTTTTCGGATATCTTATCAACGTTTAATTTTCAAATAGAACACCCTCTATATTATTACATTTTTCAAATCTACACAATTTTCTAAATGCAATGATACCCCATACTTGATATTTTAAGTGTTAAAACGCTCGGTTTATTTTTTTATCTAGAGGGTCATGTGACCCCAAATGAAAAAGTCCAACGGGGTTAAGTAGGATGATCTAGCAGGCCACCTAATAGGACCATGTGTTCCAATCCATTTCTCCCCAAATCGATCACGAAGGTACTACGTCACTATCCTACTACTACGGGGAGGTGCTCCATCCTGCTGAAAAAACAGTCGATTTGCCAGATTAAGCGGTGAATCTTCTAAATATCCTTCAATTTCATTTCTGAGAAAACCTAGGTATCTATCACCACTCAATGGTCCGTCAAATATTATGAGGCTAATCATCCTAGCCCCTACTATTCCCAGCCAGACATTGAATCCAAAACGTTCTTGGAAATTTCCCTGCCGAAACAAATTCTGATATTCTTGTGCCCAATATCGGATATTCTGTCTATTAAAGAAACCAAGATTGGTGAATCTTGAGAATACAGTTGTTTTCAAAAACTCATTATTGGGCTGCACATTATTGTGTAGAACCCATCTACAATATTCCACCCTTCTTACGCGTCATACAGATGTTGATGAAGTTGATATTTGAAAAATCGATGTTTTTTTACAATTCTTCTTACACTTTCACGACTGATATCCAACTCAAAAGCCAGCTGCCTAAGAGATACTGTTTTATCGATTTCCAATCTCATGAGGACATTTATTTTCATTTCTTCAGATATAATAATGAAATAATTTCTAGCCGGACATTGTCGTGCGGGATATTGCTCCGAGTATAACCGGTGAGCCGCAACTGCATTTTACCGACATTCCCCATAAATCAATAGCATATCTACTTTCTCGTTTCTGTTATACAGTTGTGGCATTTTTAACTTATTTCTGTTAGAAATCCGATTGACAACAATGTGTTCAGTAACTAACAAACAATGTCAGTTTATAGAAATATCAAAAGTTGTTTGTAATTCATAGCCACCTCATTAACTTACCTTTATTAAATTGCAAAAATATTTAATAATTTTCAAGGCTCTCTAGTTCGAAAAATAAACCGAGCGTCTTAACACTTAAAATATCGAGATTGGGGTATCATTGGATTCAGAAAATTGTGTAGATTTCAAAAATGTAATAATATACAAGGTGTTCTATTTGAAAATTAAACGTTGATAAGATTTCCGGAAAAACCAGGAGTTGAACAAAATCTCAAATTACGTGCAAAAAGTTCCGTAAAAATAGGTGAAAGAATAAAGAAAAAAAGGGAGGTGTACCATAAGTCTGTGACACATAGTATATTCGTACAACAAGCTCAATAGATCAAAATATGTTTAACTCCATAATTCTATTTTTATATTTTCAAGCAAATGCTTCAGTGTATAATAATTTAAAGTGAAATCCCGATACCACATGTCGAAGAATTTTATTATATTACTCAGCTCGCACTCCTAATGAATGACTTTTACAGGAAAATCTCTGATACCTTAGTTTTACAATAATGAAATTTTTGCAAGGTTTTCTTATTGATACAGTCGTTTTACTCGCTGATGATGTAACTTTCCGAAGATGATTAGCAGTTTTTGAGTTTATTCACCACTAACAAACAAATATTTTGCTTCATAATTATTAGTTTAGAATATTCAGTCGATCAAAATTTTATAAAATCATTTCAAGTCATTAAATTTGGTACATTCGTGATATATTTTTTATCAAAAGTTAATTTCCATACTGACGAAAATGTATATTCTCTACATATAAATTATGGTTCATGCGTAATGTTCTCAAATCTGATTTTAATTTGATTAAAACCGTATATATTCTTGACATGGTTTTTTGTCTTCTGAAATCAAAAAACGTTTTTGCATGATGAAATATGTTGAACAAATTACTTAATGTTTACAGAAATGTTGCTGCGTTTGGATAATATTTAGATGGGCATTCATCTAACTTGCCAGTAACAATTCTGATCATTAATTTCGCCTTTATACTTCAGAAAACAAAAAAATATAATTCATATTAAATATACTCCCTTCGGATGACTTTTTTTCCCTTACATTGCAAACGCTGGCTGGATGTACTACAGTATTAAACACCTTGAAAATGTCTATGAAAAGTCCGAGAAATAATGGGTTATTTACGAAGCGATTTTAAGCAATACAGCATTAATCCTTATCCAATTAAGAACCTTAAATACATTGTGCATTTAATATAGATCAACAAGGCCTTTCACAGCGTATAATTCGAATGAATATTTTCGAAGAGTTAGGGACACAGCGGTTGCGATTAGGAGCGATCGCACGCATTTATATGTATATTTAGTATCAACATTGCACCCGTGCAGAGCCGGGGCGGTTCGCTAGTTCATTATAAATCAACAGAATCATAGCAATAGTTGGTTGATGATACGAGTAGAAATTTGTTCAATATCAAAGAAAGTCTTCATCTGCACATGTTTCTCATAAGTGAAGTTTTTTCATATTCATTTGTCGGAAAATCAACTCACACTAACATAGTAATAATAATAATAATAATGTTTATTTTCGAAAATATAAAAAGACAGATAGAAAAAAAAGTTGTCATAGTCAGATATTTGTCCTATTTATGTGATTTGGAGTGTAACTGTTTATTGTAGAAACTTTAGGTTCTTAAGGTTATTAAATATGTTTCTATCTGTAGTGTCCATCCATTGTTTTACATGGTATTTAACATGTTTCACATGGTATTTTAACATTTGATAGATTTGAGATTTTCTGGCAGTAAATTGTATATTCTTGATGCAAGATATTGTGCTGAGCGTTGACCGGCTGTTTTTTTCGCAGGTTGGAACTTTCATGTTTTCATTTTTTATTCGAGTTTTTCATATTGGTGGTCGATGGGTGTTAACTTGATTTTATTTTTACAGATATACATTAGAATTCGTTGACAAAAAATTTCTCTTGTATCAAAAAAATTGGTCTCTAAAAATAGCTTGTCACTGGACTGTCTTATGTATCAACAATTGTTTCTGGTTCAGCAGTCCAAATCTCATCTTCATTAGTCGTAGAGGGCTGCTGGAGAACTCAAGAACCACTAACATCTAATGTTCTTCTTCAAAATTATTCTCAGAATCCATTTCTGTATGATACTCAAATTATGTATCTGTTACACCTCCCCAAACAAAGATTCCGTAAAAAACCTGAGATTTCACAAGTGCATAGTACAGTTTTTTTAAGTTTTTCATATCCAAAAATTCCACTAAGTACTTGAATTTTGTGAGTAGACCTCTTAATTCAGCCACAATATATAGCAACAATAGCAATAATAGCAACAATATATGCACTTTAGAGATCATTTCTATTTCAGATGTATCATCTGGATTGCAATCACGGCCATCTTCCCTTTATAATTTCATATTTTATTACTACTGTTATAATTTTGAACGGCTTTGGCTGTAGCTTGTAACAATTTGTTTTTTGTCAGTATTCATGTTTTTAGATGTACCTTCAGGCAATGGCCAACCCGTGAACGGCACAATACCAAGTCTACCCTCCCCCACAATGCCAACATTCAACATGGCGGCACAAACTCCAAATGGCCAACCAGGCGGTCAGGAGCAAGTTTACACGAATGGGATTCCTCCACAGACTTATCAAGCACGTAAGTATTAGTGTAACTAATATGTCTAAACTTTCAAGTCCCGGTTTGTTGACCGTAGTCTGCAGTTTTTTATGTCTGATGTTTCGTCTTCTGCCGCGGTAGATATCATCAAAGGTTATGAAGCAACAGACGAAGTGCTCTCAAGTTCGGTACAACCCAACCACTTCGTCTGTTGCCTCATCGCCTTTAGTAATGTCCACCGCAGTAGTAGACAAAATGTCAGGCATAAAATCCAGCAGACCAAGGCCAAGAAACCCAAAAAATATATCAGAGTGAAAGCTATTTTTCTGGTTTGACACGATCCTGGATCCACATTCGACTCTCAGGATCCACCATTAGAATTGTCATTCATTAATTTATAAAGATTTTTTTTATAATACCCAGGAAGTTTGAAAATGCCACAGTACAAAAGTATTTTGAGAACTAAGAAAATGAGGTGTTTCTCTTTCACATTATCAGTTATCTCCAGTGTAACATATTTCACCGAATTTTTTCGGTATTTCAGATGCGCTTCATCTGTCCATCCCAGCACAAGGTTTGCCGAACGGAGAAGCGACGATTCAACACACTGCATATCCAGGAATGCAGCCTGCATATCCAGGTGTCGGTACGTATATTTATTCCTGTTCTTATTGTATACTGATATTTTAGAGGAACGTATGTGTAAAGGGTGTACATATATATATGTTTAGCCTGTTTCTCACTAAATGTTTTGATGTTTCGAGAAATTTTATGTTAGATGTTGTTGCTTCATCCCCTATCTTGTGTGTCAATTTTTGATGTTGACTGTTAATAAGTGATAATTCTACACTGGGTCATTTTCGTAATTTCAACAATGCTAGCCGAAATCAAAATAAGTCAAATGACTATGCTGAGGAGAAATACACACTTATCAAGGAAATGAATATATTCAATAAAAAAAAGAATCATTGGCCTCTCCCAAAGTTCTTACACAGTAAGATCTGGTAAATGCCTAGTGAAAAATAATTAATACCACTATGGACATTGATTTTTATCCAACAAACATTTGTGAAAGTTTCCTCGCAGAAAAAATTCTGATCACTTACAGACCGGTTTCGGAGTATCGCCCCTCTTCAATGCAGGATAGATTAATTTCATCGAAACTTGAACAAATGTCTGTCGATATAATTCAATATACGTCATTGTATTAGCCAGTAGAGTAATTTGCGACAGGCTTTTGCCACATCTTTTTGTTGGAACATTAGCAGAGGAGAATGTTTCGAATCTTATCAATTTGAAATATTCATTTTCCCAAAAAATATTACGCTACCTTGAAGAATGTTGCACTATTCTTTTGATGATATATTTTATTAGGATAACCAGATGATATTGAAACTTGCCATACTACCCTCCTGAAGCTTTCTTATTTTGATTGAAAATATTTGAAATATGTCACGCACATTGCTAATTACTGTGAAAATTTTTTGCCAAAAAAATTATCCTATCAAATTTGTCTATTTCTAGTCATGTGTGTCGAAATAACCAATGAAACCATCATTACACTGATAACTACCCATGGATAGTTTTCACGGGTAGTTATCACTTATGTCATGACATTGCTAAGCAACCAACACAATAAAGTTGTTTGACATTTCAGTAATTCAATTTATTTCGAAAATGTCACTTCCTCGCTTTGGTGTTCAAAATGATGCGGCAATTGACAAAATCATTGAAGAAAATACACCAAAAAATACTGTCAATAGTAAAAAATACACTTGGAAAATATTTTTGGAGTTTTGTGACGCCAGAAAATATGAATTGGATGGAAATCGTACTCTCGAAGAGCTTGCATTAATACTCAAGGATTGGGCGATTAATATGAGAAAAAAGGATAGCACATAGTTTAAGGAGGCTACTGTTAAAACCGTATGTAATATAACAAGCAAATTATTACAAGAAAAGTATTACAAGGAGTATAATATCATGCTAGACCCCTTTAAAAGTGTTGCATTCAAACAAGCGCGGAATGCACGCGACGCAGCACGAAGAAATTTACAAACAGATCCCACTAAACGCAAAACAAGCTCAGTACCATTAACTTCAAATGAAATGAGTAAAATTATAAACTTTTGGGATGAAAATACCCCTATAGGACTCCTACACAAATTTTATCACATAGCAGCGGTGGAATTGGCTTGGAGAGGTGGTGAAGGTGCTGCTTGCTTAGTTGATTATTTTCATATCGAAAAGGACAACAATGGATCTCCAACTAATAGGATAAAATATAATCCAATTTTCAGTAAAACCTGCCAAGGGGGTTCAAAGAACTGCGCCTCTAGCAAATGGTTAGTTCAAAATAGTGATAACAATGCTTGTCCTGTCAGATTATTCATTAAATTATTATCAAAACGAGGCACAAATATCAAGACAAATAGACTATTTTTAAGGCCAAATCGTCACTGGGAGACAGGAAGCGATAACTGGTATGACAATATGCCTCTGGGTAGAAATATAATCAACGGATGGAGGAAATCTTCTGCTGAAGCAATTGGCTTGGATACGAAACAGAGGAAAATAACCAATCACTCTAATAGAGCAACTGCAGTCAGTCAACTAGCTAAGAGTGGAGTTCAAGAACAGCAATTGTTGAAAATTACTGGGCACAATAATGGAAATTCCATAAAACCTTATTTGAATATTGATCAGGAACATCATAACCAAATAATCAATAGTATGCGTGGAAACACCTTTGCAGTAACTGAGGCAAATACAGCAAGATCAACGGAATATCATTATACGATTTGTTCTTTTAATAACTGTGTGTTCAATAAATAATTTTGTTCGAATTGCAAAAAATTTTCTCACCGAATATCCCTCGAACATTGATAAATAACTCATATTTTTATCACAACTTCCTCAAGCACGTTATTTTAGGTAACATCCCTCCGCCTTCCGCGTCGGGATGTTCCCAAATAACGTGCTTTCGAAAACTGTGATAAAATTATTTCGTTAGTTATCAATGTCCTTGGGATATTATAGCTGAAAATTCAAAATCCAAAGTTGAATTGAAAAACAGCTTCAGCTCACATTTCGCCGTTTCATCATAAGGTTTTCTTCAATTAATGTGAATACAGATAAGATTTTCTATATCCTTTGTGAAGAATAAAGTCGATTATCATTATTATTGAATATTAAACGAAATAAAATCGATTATACTATAAATACCCATAGACGTCAATGAAAATTTGTGACGTAAGAAATGAACGTAGGTGGATAATGAATATTTTCAATAAAGGCATTTCATTAACATATGCCTCAACGAGTTTTCATCCAAGTTTTTAACAAAATGTTCAATAAATTCTGCGAGTTGGTTGTCGATAAATGTATACGAATACAGCCGCATGAGGAATCTTTTAATCCAAAAACGATGTATTCGTGATACACCACCACACAGCCTTGTTTCGACTTGCCATCAATGGTGCTAGGATGAATCATGGGCATTGTTAGACTCATTTATCTTTGTAGGGATCAAGCCTAATTATACAGTACTTTTCTTTAATGCCCCCGCCCTTATATTTTTTGAACGGGCCTACTCAAAAAATTTAAATTTGGGATAATGAAATTAATGCATGAAATTGGCAGATGAAACTCTCAAGATGGCGACTGGACGCCATCTGGGAAAAAAATTAAATGGAAAGGGGGTCTTGTGACACATCTTTTTGAAGCTCCTGACGAATGCTTCACAACTCTAGAATATAATGTCAATATCTTCAACTACTACAAAATGGCTGAACTTTTAATAGTTGCCTGAATACATTGACATTTAACTACATAATATGAGGTAATAAGCTTGAGGTCAGTTCAGAAGATGCTCGAAATGGCTGCCTTGAACTTCTTGACATATGAACAGTCTATCCGATATTTCACGCCGAACATTGTCGAACACAGTTACGTCAATATCTCTAAACATATTTATTATTCTCTGCCATATATCCAATATTGAAGAAGGTTCAGTTTCACACACCTTTTGCTTCAAATAGCCCAATAAAAGAAGTTCAAAGGTGTCGACGGCCAATCCAACGACCGGGAAAAGTAGTATCCAAATAGTTTCTTACTTGTTTGGAGTAATGTGGTGGTGCTCCATCTTGTTGGAATACGATATCCATATCGAATTCATTAGGATTCGCTTCGACGATTTCAGTGATGAGAGGGTCAACAGTAGTTTCCAGCATACTCAAATACAGTTCTCCTTTTGAATTTTGATCAATAAATAGAGGTCCTACAATAAGGTTTCCCAGTCCCAAACATTCGTTGTGGAACGAATGTTTGAAATACAAACTGAGTAGAGAAAGTATCTTCTGTATAATTCAGTGTTCATATAGAAGTATTTGTTTCGAAAGAATTTTTTCTCTTTCGTGTAATTCGATGTTTATATGAAAGTAGCTGTTTCAGGAGGACTTTCTTTCAGTTTGTGTCTGAAAGTTACTTTTTTCATGACCTACAAATCCATGTATAGAGTTACTTATTTTAAAATTGATTCCTTCCTTTCCTTGGAAGATTCCCTCATCCTTGTTTTTTGTATCAAGATGGAGTAGTAGAAAGCCAAAATCTTTTTTCCAAAAATTAATCACTCCTAAAAATATAACCTCTTCAGTTCATATTCATTGTCGTACTGACATTTTTTGTCATTTTCATAAACAAAGAATAACTTAACAAAACCAAATGAGAATATTCTATCTGAAAAATGATGTTCATTGTCATACAGACATATTTTGTCGTTTTCATAAATAAATAATAACTTAACAAACCTTATCGGGTTGTTGGAATTGTCATATGGCAGATTAAAAGGAATATTGCAAGAAATATCGATATTAATGTGTTTGTCTTCAGGAAATTATTAAACTTTCCGCCATTTTGTAATAGGTGAAGATATTGACTTCATATTCTAGGGTTATGGAGTATTCTTCAGGAGCTTCAAAATTATGTTATACAAGACCCCCTCTCCATTCAATTTTTTTTTCTCATATGGCACTTAGTCGCTATCTTGAGAGTTTCATCTGTCAATTTCACTTCAAAATAAAGTATCCATGCATTAATTTCATTATTAAATGTATGTATACATGAACATATTCGACGATCTGGATTCGCAACACACCGCGGTGGAGACACTTGTTTCTCTTGGATAAGCAAAGTTCGAGTTTTTTGTCGATCTCATAGATGGCATCTTCATAGGGACGGATATCCATTCTCACTTTTAATGACTTGATCAAACGAACTTTTTTTTTAATTTTTACCATTCAGAATCTTAACAGTTTGTAATTTAAAATATGTCAGCGACGTTTGAAAATGGTCGGAAAATTGTGTGCGATGGCTTCATTTTTTGCAAATATTTTAAAAACTGTATATCAAATTTTTTTTTTTTAGTTGAATTCCATATTTTCGAAATATCCAATGTCATCTCTATCGTTAATCGACTCTTGTTTTTTAAGTTCTATGGCTACCTGTTTGATTTAATCAAAACTTGATTTCATGTTCCCTCTACAGGTGGTGTTGAAAAAGGACGGTATAATATTTGATAAAAGAACATGGAGAAAAAAACGTGAAACTTCCTTTCGTCAAAAGTGTTACTGACAATCATGTAACTGAGTTGTTAGATCCACATTAAGATTGTTATATCAAAGTATTTGCCGTTCTTTCAGCAGTTGATAGCAAAATTTTATATTTTATTATCTGTTTTCATCTGAATTCCAGATTAAAAATCTCAAAAAACAATATCTGGTGGATTACAAGAAGGAAACTGAACCTCTGTATAGCTCTCTAATTCTCAACAGCGGAACAATTGTAATATTACAAAAAGTAATTTTCATTAGATTTAATTTCAGATGTTCATGTTGAAGAATAGTGCTTCATTATTTCAAGTACAGAATTTTACCATAAATGAACGAATCTTAATTACAAAAGCTAAACCAAATTTACGTTCATATCACTCTGTGAAACTGAGTGATATATACGGGACTATTCAAATAAATTCAAATATATGCATGAGGATCTCGTAAACGGTATGAGATAGAGGGTATGTAAAATTGTGGTACTATTGGATGATATTGAGAATTTTACTCTGCTTTTTTATGGTTTCAAATACTATTTTTTGTTTTATCTTTTCTATGCAGGAATATTTGAGATATGGTTACATTATGCCTTATCAATATGCATTGGGCATCAGAATATAATCGTAGACTTTTCAAACGAGTTTTATATACCCTAAACTATTTGTATTTTCAATACAATCCTGTATTTTTGTTCGATAATGTTCATATATTATCGTAAAATTCAGGTTTCTTTGTCATTTTCGATGATAATTCGATAGTCATGTTATAAATTATTATTACTGCCCTGATATTCATCGAAAGAAATCAATTCTCACTGGTACCTGTTCCCCTCCATAGAACTTCCAGCCACCATTTCTACTCCTGCTTTGTTAGATACGAAGTCATTCAGCAATAAAAAATACGAGATATGGTTTGAGAAAAATGAACTGGAACACATTTTCAATTTTGAAGTTACTGGAGAAAAACATTGGATATGTGCTTTTGCTGGCATATATAATTTTAATGAGTTTTCCGGATTACATTCAAAATTTCTCAGAAACTTAAACACTTAAATACCAGTAGTGGTTTTCAATAGAGTAAGAATTCCTTATATTGAAACTATTATCAGGGACGTAGTAAATAACGACGATACCTATTTAATTATCTCATACGGTTAAACTAAACTCGATATTCGACAAAAGTTTTAGGAAGATCATTACCAACTATAAAACTACTATGAAAAGTACAAGTCAGTAGGTATGTATAATTCTAAATAGTCTAAATCATACGACAACCTTCATAAAATTTCATATCATATTTTGATAGTCCAATGGAAGTTACAACACAAAGTTTAAACCGATTTTCAATATCGCTTTGATTCAAAAAAATACGTCAAAAATTATAATTTCAAAATTTGGGGTGTTTCCGTATTTCTCCGGTGTCAATTTTTCATTCGATAGTAATCGAAAACGGTCAACTTTGCCACAATGGGGAATGTTCCTCCTGACGAAATTCAAGTAATTTTCATAGAAGAGCTCTAAAACAATGCATTTTGAACTTATCATTTCAACCTTTTTCTTTAAAAAATTATTTGAATACTTAAAAAAGAGGAATGAAATAATGCATTCAACATTTAAAGGGATTCGTTTCTATTTCACCATTTGGCAGCATCGGTTATAGCTAATAAAGGGCAATGAATCTGTTACCTGTATGAGACAAACAGAGATGACATATTTCAGAGGCGTGGTGTTCTATTTACTTATGTTTCGAGTTCCGAGATATTCTGTGATATATGACATTTTGTGCACCTAACCTATCTTCCTCTATGTAAATAAATAACAAAACAACTGTTGTTTATGTGGCTTGTGGAGTTGGTATTGAACTATAATTTATATTTTGCCTTAATTGTTGATTTATAAAGATAATTTTTCTTTTTTGAAGTAGAATATCTAGGTACGTATAAATTATTTCAACTTCATATAGGCGCTGTTGCCAATATGTGAATTAGAAACAAATCCCTTTAAGAATCAAAACCCAACATTTGAAACATCAATTTGAATACTTTTCGAAATTAATTTGAAAAACTCATGAATCAAACCCAACTTTATTTTGTTCAAACTTGCATTTCCTGTAATAACCCTATTTGAGGAATATTCCCCATTCAACCTACTCTCTATCTCTCACCGTACACACCGTTCACATGCATACACTCGAATTTCAATTCTTCTCTCAGTATACTGAATGTTTAATAAGATACGATAAACATTACTACGTTTTGATGAACCAAAATAGCTTTCAGTTTCTTCTGAAATACGTAGGTATTATTGTTTCACCACAATTCCCAATCGAACTTAAGACGGATTGATGTCATTTTCAGGATTAATAGATAATAAAAATGCACCGTTCTCCTAATGTTTCACGCAAAGAGTCGCGCATTATTACAATCACCTAGATATTCCAAATACTAGTAGGATAAAAATGTGCATACCAAACAGTGGTGACTAATCGGAAAAGATACTTTTAAAACGGTTACTTCCAGTTCCTCCTTTCATTTCTCACCATTGTTGGATCAATTTTCAAGTTAACTGAACTTCAATCGAACTGGAGCGATAATGGGCTATCCGAAAAATTATTCATTTTCAAATTGTTTGGTTAACTTGTCAATCCAAGCATGTTGATATTGCATTGGCGGAAAAGTATAGGTGTCATTTGTTTATATTTGTCGGCAGCTTACCCCGCCGTTTATGGTCAATTCCCACAGGCTATACCACAACCAATGTCTGCAGTTGCTCCAGCACAAAGAGAAGGTAAGAGACATCGAAAAAATAAAACATCTACAGTTACCGAAGAATTACCATCATTATGAACGATCTGCAACATTTCTTATAGTTCACTTTTCGTGTAACCAATTTTGTTTCACTCAAAGTCATTGACAGTATTCACTTTCTAGTTCGATAAAAATATTTTAAAACAGTTATATGAATTGAAAAAATATCCTAGTTCCCACTTCGAAGAATTATTACTCGTAAATTCGATCATGCAGATGCTGATAGTGTGTCGTTGGATAAGTTAAAACAGTTTTTCAATCTACAGGAAAGACACTGAATATCAAAAAGTAAAATTTTCCGTAAATAAGCCCCCGAAAACCTTAAAGTGAGTAATATAGAAAGCAAATGTACTCATAAACTACAAACTCGTAGAGGGGCAAATTGGCAATTTCCATGTCATTTCATTTCATACTATCATGAAAATAATTTTACAGTTCCAAGCTAACCTTTGAAATATTAGAAATCAACTGTATCTCGGAATTTTTGTAATTTCATTTATGTTTCATGAAGCTGCTGTATCTGTATCTTCTGATAGGAATTGCTTTTGATACTAACACCAGTGTTTTCGATATCAATTGTAAAAGCATTATGCATTTCAAGATAATTTTTCAATTTTTATAAAATCTGGATGGGCTTTTCCATCTACTACTCTAATTAGATTCACCAAATATCACATGGCAGTGCCATTTTTCAAGTTACTTCAACTTAAGTTCTACTGAAAGATTCATGAATATCCTAGCACTTCTCTATGCAAAATCGTTTAATTTATAATATAACAAGCCACCATTTCATACGATTATGGAAAGGATTGAGTTTGCTGATTTCAGTCGAGAGTGCAGGTCGTCCAAAATAAAGTTTGGAAAAACTCTTGGATCACAGATTCGCATGAAAACATACCGATTGAACAATCTAAGACGTTATACACTTATGGAAATATTGTCAATATTTCCCACCAAAAAAATGTAATACTTTTTGATGACTAGAAACTACTAAGGAGAGGCCTCATATGCTAAAATGCTGCTCATGTTTCTTATGTGAATTTTAATCGCCCAGATAATTCGGCTCGGAAAAATCTCCAGGGTTCAGAAAGGCAAGAAAAGTTTATTCGAGAAAATATTCACAAATGAATGACAAAAACTCCAAGAAATGAAATCTATATAAAATAAAATCAATATATACGACCCGAATTTTCACAGGAAGAACCAGATTCAAATAATATTGTAGAAGATAGAAACCTGGCATGACAAAAATTATAAAATTCGCATGGTATTGGATTAGTTTTCCTGCCATTCCTCAGTAGGCTTCAAGCTCACCTTGCTCAAAGGACTCATTACAATTAATGAAATATTACGCACCACTCTCATCCAATGTGGCTTGAAATGGAACAAATGTGTTCATCGCATAAAAATATTTTCAACTACCGTAACTTTCTGTCAAATGATATCAACTTTGTGCTGGGTCGGGAACGTACAGCTCTCTAGATAGTGCGAATAAAACCCGCACTTGGTTGGTAATCGACCCTCAGGTTGGATAAGGGTATACTGTCGAAAATCATTTCGGAAATGAACTGCCTCAATTTTTGATTGTCTTACAAGCATATTTCATGTCTTCATAAATTATATAATTAATAGTCTCAAGTACTGCTGCAGAACTGTTTGCCTTGCAGCAGCCTTGTCTAGGACGATAATTCAAAGACCACCAATTTTGGATATTTCTAGCATATTCGACAAAAATTCGAGGGATTTTTTTAGAAATCCAGGATTGTGTAGAACTTTTATATTTAATACGTATTCCTATTATTTCTGTACTCATTTCATATCACTGTGCAGCTCAGGGAAAAAGAACGATAATATCTCCATATCATATATGCCTAGAAAGTGACTATTTTTTGTAACTTCAACCACGATGTTGCATATCGAAATGTTATTTGTTAAATGTTTAATATTGCATTGAATGTTTCCGCACTGGCTAGCCACGTTAAACGCCTATTTGTTATAGATGTTGTGTCATTGGTATAGGTATTTTCAATTTACAGTCGGATAAGAGTAGCCTGTTTGGATATATTTTAGCAGACAAGTGGACGAAACAGCAGCCTGCTGCCAAAATCAAAATAATTCAATGTGCTTCCATATATGAATTCATAAACTTTGGATTGAAATAAAATCTGTAATGGAAGAAAGAAATGTTATGGTCTGGGATATCACATACAGACGTTTCTCTTCATTTTTCGTTTTAAATGGAATATCTTCTGGAGATCAAAAAACCATTGAGAACACCATTTTTCACTTCTCTATCATCGTACAAAAATGTATGAAACTCCTGAAAATATTCCTTTTGCAGTTTAATAATGATATAAGATCCAAGTTTCTGTGCCCTGTGTGATTGAGTATTTTTCGGGCGATGGTTTTGAAAGACCAGCAAAACATTCGTATCTAACTACCTTATAGGAAGCACCTCATATTTAATTCAATACCAATGATAAAATAAATGTTTAATTTCTTACATCTCAATACAGAATATAACTTTGGAATTATAAGTGGCAGGTTCAGAATTTCATTAATTTGCTTCAAGGAATAATGAAGGGTTTTGTTATCTTAGCAAACATTTTGTTCATTAAATATTTTCGCCAAATTTTCGTTCCACAATAAAATAATGTTTTCATTCGACTAATATCAATGAGTATTCAAAAAACACTTCACAGTGGGTTTTTCACTGAACAGTTTTAGAATAACGCAACACGTGTTTCGCCATACAATGGCTGCTTCGGGCGTGTCTTTAGACACGCTCGAAAAAATCAATGTTTAGAAAAACGTGTTGCTTTTTCGTAAAACTGGTTAGTTACAATCTCAAAATAAAGTGTTTCTTGATTACGTTATGGATTTTCATCAAGTATCGGCCGTTTCCATCACATAACATCAATGAGTTTCTCTCTTTCCGAGCCCTATTCATAAACACTACATATATCCTTAGCCACAACCAACTTTTATTTGTTTATTTTCCATTCACCTAGATATTTATTTTATTTTAGCTTACCGTCTGATTGAGCATCCAGGCAAGTATTTCATTAAATTTCTGGAATACCTTGAATCAAAATTAACATTACTTTCTTCCAAAGTAACTAAAATGAATATCGCTTAGCGAATGAATGTTTACATTATAATGGAAATTTGACATTAAATATTGATACATATATTTTTTCCATCCACAGGTTGTTCAATATCCGGTCCTGAAGGTTGTAATCTATTCATATATCATTTACCTCAGGAGTTTGGGGACGCTGAGTTGATGCAGATGTTTCTGCCTTTTGGAAACGTCATCAGCTCCAAAGTTTTCATCGACCGTGCCACAAATCAGAGCAAATGCTTCGGTAAGTATTGAAGAATAGGTTTTTCTTTCGACTTTTCACAACACATTTTTGATCATCATTTGATTTTGAAGACTATTTGTTATACGTTCATTGAACGTTTTCCAATTGTTTCTCCCTGTGTTTTCCTTCGATGCAATTTTTCCAATTTCTCATTTATTATTGTAATGATATATGTTAGTAAGGAATAGTAATTAGTAAAAATAATCAAAACGAAATATTATTAACATTTATTTTTCAATGTTTTTCCATATAATTGAAGTTCAACATATTTTCAAACCCAAGAAACATACTGTTTCTCAGATTTAACGAATTCTAGTTGGATCCTTTTGTCTCCTAAAATTTGCAGGGCATATTTCAATATAATCTGTGAAATAAATTCAAAAAACCAAGTCTATTCAATTTAATTTGACGAGATGAAATTTTTTTTTATAGACAATCGAGTTCAGCATCAAAAAATTGTATCTGTTCCAAATTTCCTTTCCATTATTTTATTATTGACAATAAATTATCTTTTATACATAAAATAAATAATTTATACCAAACAAAAATGTTCTGCATTTGAAAAATATTTGATAATCTGACTATCACTTTTTTGAAAAACAAGAGAATGAGAGAAATATTCAGTCCGGTTAAAAGAGGAACGAAAACAGAATTATTGAAACAGAACTTCAAGTAATGATTTTTCACATATTTTTTACTTATTCAACACTTCCTCATTCAATTTCAGATATACAATCAATTAGGCTTGACAGGTTCGAAATTGGTCATTTGAAATTTTTCAAGTTGTAACTTCCGAAGTTCGAGTCTATCAACTGAAATCTATCAATGAATTTTTAAAATTTGTTAATTTTTCAAGTTTGTCGAAGAAATGAAAATCGGAACTCTTCCAAAACTTATTCGATCTTCATGATGTATACCAGAGAATTTTGTAATAAAAAATATAATAATTTTACTTCTAATTTAAACCTTTCAGAATTTATTGACTTTAGTGATGACTATATGAAATAATATTAGTGACTTCATGTACCTACAAGTGTAAGTAAATCGTTACAGGTTGATTTTTGTTTCCTACAGCAGATGAAGTGATATATCATTGAAATATTTGAATCTATGTATACAAGGGGGGTCTGAAAAGTTTCCGATTTCAACATGAAGATGGCTGCACTCGTAAATAAAAGCTAGTTAATTTAGTTGTTCATCTGTTGACAGTTACTCGCCAAAGTTTCAGACATTTTGAACGCGCAATTGTTAAGTGAGTTGATGTGAATGTTTTTATGAAAATGGACAAATCGAGTCATTAAACCCTACGCAATTCGAAGATGAGTTAGTGTCTATGTATGGTGATTCTGCAACATTTTGGGAAGCTGAATTCCAACGTGGCCGTAAGAGCTTGGCATACGATAAACGTTCGGGACGTCCAAAAACTGCAACTGCCCACGAGAACATAGCCAAAGTTCACCAACTAGTACTAGACGACGCCGTATTGAAGCATAGGTTAGGTTAGGTTAGGTGAACATGTCAAAAGAAAGTGTTTATTACATACTAAATCAACATTTAGGCATGAAAAAGCTGCCGCGTTGTGTGCCGCGTTTGCTCACGTTAGACATAAAACGTGTTAAGATAAACATTTCCGAAGGTTTAATGGCGAAGTTTAGACGCAATAAATCTGAATTTTGGCACCGATTAATTACTGTACAGTTCAAAAAGGGGGAATTGGCTCCAAAAGAAACGCAAAAACTGTTTTTTTTGCTAGGAAAGTGATTGCAACTGTTTTTTGGGATAGCCATGGAGTTATTCCAATTGATTATCTTCAAGAAGGAAAAACCATTACAGGAGCATACTACACATCATTACTTGACAAGCTGACATTACTTGGCAGAACTTGCAAAAAAACGAACACATTTGCAGAAAAAGGAAATCTTGTTCACCAAGACAACGCACCAACAGCGGTTGCCATGGTGAAAATCCACGAATTACGGTTTAAACTGCTTGACCATCCGCCTTACTCGCCAGATATAGCCCCAAGCGACTTCTTTTTGTTCCTTCATCTAAAAATTGCGCTCGGAGGACAGGGATTTTCATCAAATGAAGAGGGAATTTTCCTCGTGAACAATTATTTTGCAGAGGAAAACGCCGAGTACTATTTGGAGGGGTTGCGGAGATGAGAGCATCACTGGGAGAAGTTTGTATAGTTAAAAAGAGACTATGTTGAAAAAAAAATGAAAAAAATGTCTTTTATCTTCGTTGGGTGAGAAACTTTTTAGATCACTCTCGTAACAGTATATTTTTCATCTCAATTCTATAACTTATGAACTATCCTGTATTTATTCATTGCACTGGCAGCATATACCGAGTGTATTGAAGTTGCTTTTCCCCCATTGATTTAATATGTAGTAATTTCCATCCATAATAACTTAGTATAAATAATTTCAGGGTTTGTATCATTTGACAACCCGGCAAGTGCTCAAGCTGCAATCCAAGCGATGAACGGCTTCCAAATTGGGATGAAGCGTCTTAAAGTTCAACTGAAAAGGCCCAAGGATGCCAGCAGGCCCTACTAACCCTGGCCCTCAGAACTGTGGGTTCCCCAAATCAGGGTACTCATCCGCCACTAGTATACACTATATTATATAAACACTTAGTTTTACCTTGTAAACATACCTGGTAGTACTCCGAGCACAAAAGTTCCACTAATAAGCAAACAAAAATCGAAAAAAATGTGTTTTTTGGATATTTCGTCAAGTGACTATTGTACATATTTCAAATTAATCATTATCAATTGATCGAAACCAAATGGATTTGTCTCATATAAGTTGAAGGGAATTGGTTACCAAACTTCTTCAAAACGGTTCAGTCGTGATCTCTGGATGTTTACTCACTCATTTTTCTATCCGTCCACTGGCTTATGCAACAGTTCCAGGAAATCTCAAATTCGTCTGCTTTGAAATATCGATCATGTTAATGAAAATCATTATTGGTCCAATGTAAAGTCTATAAAAGTGTGTAACAATTCAATATTAATGTAACTCTTCTTTCCATACTCTTCGATACTCTCATGCGTAAAACTGAAAATTCGTTTCCTTTCATACACATTCATTATTCGGACTAAATATCTATTGAATGTCCAACAATTCTTTCGGTTCTGCCGAACTCTATAAACCTGATGTGGTCCCCAGCAGGGCCGGAAATTTTGTGTGTTGTTTGTGTTTTATTTTCGGGAAAGCAAATCATAAAATGAGCTTTTACTGACTTATAGAACAAGACTACCTTTTTATTACTTAGTACGAGTCAGCAAAATTTGTAAAAAAACGCTATTAGAATGGACATGCTCAATATTTTTTGTAAAATTTGCTTGTTTCCTCTAGATCTTGTTGTTTAAAAATACAGGTTATTATTCCTATTTCAGTACACTTCATATGTCTTCTATTATTCATTTTACTGGTAATTCAACACTAGCCTAGACGAGCTAAAATAAGATCGCTTCAAATAAAATATAAATAAGACCTTTTTATTGAAGGAGTTCCAAAATCTAAATGTATTGTGGGAAGACCACTATATATTTTATTGTACCAATAACGATTGATATCAAGTGATTGAAAATGTTTGTACCGAGAAACCACCTTTTTCCATTTTCAATATTGGTAACCGTTTCATCAAATGACAAATAACATATCCCCATAAGAAAAACATTTCTTGAATTCGTTAATGCTTATGAGTGTAACTTATATAAAAAAAACAAAAAGTACGCAGTTCGGTAGCGCCACCAAACCGTACTCTCCCCTCCGAGAAATTCCAAATGGGCTGTGATTAAATAACAAATCAGTGTTTGATTGTACAGGCCGTTTTGTCTTCTCGTTACGTGAAATATGTATTTATTTTGAGATTACTCTATTCGTTGTAAGTATATGTGTGTGTTTAACTGTAATCGAATAAGATATATAAAAAGTCTCTAGGGGTGGTGGTGCGACCGCCTGCTCAGTTGCCAAATTTAGTCCAGGTGTGTTCTGTGATGATAATGCTAGTCACAGAGGCTCGGAGTCTTAATTCGTTAGGAGACATGTCCTTCAGGGGTGCATTCGAAATATGAATGCTTATAACTGACTGACAAGCTACAATGAAGATGATTTTAGTAGGGCGGTACCTGATGGTTAGTGAAAAAGAGCTCTAGCTACAGTTTTGTAGCGAATTCGCAGACGAATTTCTGCTCTCCAAAACAAATAAGATTGAGAGAACGTAAACAGCAGTAACTTTCAATTTCCACGATGACAGTTTTCTAGATTCAGGAAAAATAAAACGACTTCCCACCATCACATGTTTCAGAATTCAATAACAAAAGCTTCCATCAGGGAACTATCGAAAGAAAAACCATGAATGGTGTTCTGTCTTTTTAACTTTCCATGATATAAAAAGTTGATGAAAGCCAACAAAAGTTGAATGACATGCTCCTTCATAAAGAATACCCCGTTATAAACCCACAAATAGCTCGAATAAATAACATTGGAACTATAGCGATCATTCATGACATCAAACGAAATTAAAAAAGTGTTCTTGCAGCAATTTGTCAACTATTTTGTTTTCATCACTATTGACTATACTTTGAACGTAAAGTAGGAATATAGTTTTCAAAGATTGAGGCTGTTACTTTTTCATTCCATTTTAAAACATTGAAAATATTGATAAATAATATGTTGGAGCCATATCTGCAGAATCTGAATATATTTGAGAAGATAAAAATATATTTGTGAAGTTTCACTTGATTCATTGAAGTGATTAGTTTTCTGAAAGCATGGTATTAATAACTTCATAGCTTCATAGTTCTGAAGTTAGGCGACTAATGATCCGAGTAATTGTTCCATCAAAATTAATAAAGTTAAGGTGTCTTACTGAGAAACATTGACTTTGAATATAATGTATTCTAACCAACTCAAATGACTGTTTGACTGACTGGGATTATCCTTGTCGATGATTTGTATAGGAAAACATGAAATGCAAATTGAGTCTATTTCTATTTTCTGCACTATAGCTCATTCATGTATTTATTATTTTTATTTTCACGTTGTTTATTTGGGTCGAACGTTCAAATATTTTAGCGATAGAATTTCGCTTAATTTTCTTTTTTTCATATTTTGAAAATGTGATGGCAAGAGTTTGTTGATTTTCCTAAATCTTGAAAATTGTCACAGGTGGTAATATAAGTCAAGTGCCATTCAACTTTTTTTCAATATTGGAATATGATTTGAAGAACAGAAGTTTGTCGATAAGTTCATTAGAACTGTCTCAATTTTCCGGTTTATTATAATGATGTGAAATTTCAGTTAGGAGAACATTTATTCTTCCTCATATTGGGAAACGATAAAACTATTTCTAGCATCACGAGTGAGAGTTGGATTGTAGAATTCATCAGATACTGAAATACTACACGAAAAACTTTCTAAGGTATTATGCCCAGAAGCTCGGATAAGATTAGAAAATGTTGACCCAAGATAACAGAAGCGAAATGTTTTACAAACTTGATAATTTCATCGAACTGACTTAGTAAAGACGGATGTTGAGACTTGGAAAAGTGTGGAATGAGTGCATATCAAATGATTGTTAATTTCATGTCATTGATATTGTTTATTCAGGTCGACAGACTGTTCATTCATATTTTGAAAATTATTTCGAATGCATCCGAAGAACACAAGTCAGGGCTCCATTATTTTTTAAATTGTAAGAGAGCCAATGACATAATATTTATATATATTTATTTAACAATACCTATACAAAAATATAGTATAATATTTCTACTAAAACTTAAGTAACATAATCTTAAAAAGTACCAACTATATATTAATCTGTAAATTTGTAGAAGTAGTGATCTAGGTTAGGAAAAGTGAAACAAAAACAAAAAGATCGGTTCTTATACCGTGGGGTATTACCATCTTTATCGATTTTAGAACAATATGTTCGCGATTTATGAATTTTATCAAATGTAAGTAAGTTATTATTATATCAAAATGCAAGTTGTGCGTTTTCGCCAAATAGTTGTTGAGAAGTTAGTTTATGCTTTGCCGGACGAATAAAAAAGTCCCAGGCCGGGAGAGAGAGAGTGGAGGTAGCATCGCTCGGCTGGGCCTCTCTAGTCAAATTATCAAGCCCTTGGCTGCAGATTAGTTAATATGATTAGAATTAATTTAGTCTCAAGTCGATTGCATTATTTAATCCTGTTGAATTATTTCAGTTCATTTTCACAATTATGTGTTTTGACTGAAACGCTGTAATTTATTCAACGAAAGTCATTTTTAGTGGAGGAAAATCAGTTTTTCATCTACCTGTTTTGGGTATTTTTTACCTTTCACAATCTGAAAAATATAAAAATTATAATGGAGAACTTTACACAAGTGTAGAAAGAGTAAACTTTTTAGTTCACCCCGATAAGTTACTGCGTAAAATCCAAGTATTTTTCACATAGAAAAATGTTCTATTTATTATAACAAAAATTGCGTAGAAATAATACAATACTTATCTTAACGTTTCGGAGGCCAAAATCTGCCTCCGTCTTCAAAAATGGACAAAAAAGTTCTAAGATATTTGCAGTTATTCTTTTTGATTATTTATTTCTTAACTTCTTCGACAGATGTCAAAGGAGTTTTGAAATATGAAATTATATCAATTTTGTTGATTGACAACTGAAACATTCGATGTAATACAAGGTGCTCTCCGATATCAGTCTATTGCAATTTTCTTCAAGATGGTTAGCGAAGTATGATCTATTTCTAAGGAGTTGTTCGAAATACAATTCTCTCCAGATATGAGAGTATACGCTGATTCTTTTAGCTTACGTCTCTTAGAGACGTAATCATTCTTGTCTTGTTCCATTCCACTCGATGTTCACCGTCTGATTTTAAAATGTGTTCTGACAATTTAGATCCTGTCAATTGTATATTTTTTATGTAATCTCGATGTTCATTTTCACGCACTCTCAATGGTCTCCAAGTTTCACCAATATAACTTTTACTACAAGAACAAGGTATTTCATAAATACAATTTTTTGTTTTTTCTTCAGTGTTGTTGGGTTTTGTATATGTGAGTATAGATCTCAGCGTATATTTTGTTTTGAAAGTAGTTCTAACATCATACCTATTTCAAATTCGTCTTATTTTTTCAGATAGTCTGGGAATGTAAGGTATAACGTTAGTTGTGAAAGGTGTCGGTGGATGTTGAGTCGGTAATTGTTGAGTTGGATGTTGTTGAATTGGTGAAATTGTTTGTATGTTCGTTTAGTTTTCAATTGACTCTTTATTTTCTATTGCATTTATCGTTGAATTTATGAACGAATCTGGATAAGCGTTATCTTTCAGAACAGATTTAATTAATGATATTTCTTTATTGAAATTTTCAGTTGAATTGCATATCGTTTTAGCTCTTTTGTAAATTTAATTTATTAAACTTTTTTTAACACTCGCATGAAGATTCGATGTGTAGTGAAGATATCTATTTGTACGTGTTTTCTTCCGATAACCATTTGTATCAAATTGATCTGATGATCTCTCCAACATTACATCAAGAAAACGGAGTCGACCATCTTGTTCAATCTCTATTGTGAACTGTAGTCGGTTCCGGATATAATTCAAAAAAGCATTCAGGTCATCATGGTTTCTATTCCAAACAGAAAAGTTATCGTCAACGTATCTCCACCAAACTTTGAGACCGTTTTTTTTTTTATATTTTTCAGATTGTGGAAGGTAAACAAGACCCAAAAAAGGTTGATGAAAAAGCTATAATTTAATAGCACAATATTTATATAAATATCTGACAGGATTCAGGACTGACATTGAAAAAGTTGAAATATCAGTTCTTGAAAGCGATTTGAAAATCTCCAAATTTTGTAGGAAAGCATGCATAAATTCATAATCACTGTTGCCTAGAATATTGGCCAAAATGGATATACCGAACTTTGCAATGGATCACCTCGATTATTCAATTATTCAAATGGTTGGTGTAGGTAAATTAACACAATAACTTTTTCATCGACAAGTAAATCATAGAAGAATAATAAGTTTGGTTTTAAAAAGATGTCAAGTCGCTGATCAAAGAAATCAGCTTCACATATACCTGAAGTTAATAATTCTGTCTACAGATTGTTCCAGTAGTAACGTCATTATTCCTAACAACAATTGGCAATTTCTTATTTGATGATGTAGCCGTTATTACGTGGTAGGAAATAATAATAAAGAAAAGATAATTGAAACTTTCTATGTTTTTTTACCACTTTCATTTGTAACTAACGTTACTGCAATTTCGTCCTATAAGGACATTTTCAGACTTATATATTATATTCTTCTTATACTTATACTTATACCTCTCATTCAAATATGACGTCGTTTTTTGCATGCAGAAAGAGTGTCAAATTAATTGAAGGTCTTCACGAATTCATACTTTCATTACATTAGCTACGTACTTTCTGAAATTTTTAATTTTAAGTGCTCTCAATATTGTAATTTCGAGTGACCACATAAATCATAAAGTTCGACGTATTCTTTCAAATGAAGCTATACATCCAATTTATTCAAAGAAAAGTGTAAAGCAAAACAACCAAGATTCTAAACTTCCCACTTCAATTATTAATAAGAAATAAATTACAAATGTTTTTGTGTTCACATCAGTATCACTTGGATATTTCAAAATGAAAGATTCATCAAATGGGAATGTGATAGGAAATTGAAATGAACGTATTTTGTAGAAATAGAAATGCAACCAAATCAACGAAATTTTTATCAGGTGGGCAAAATGAACCGAATGGATCAATATCTGGCTGATAATTTGAAAGAGTCTCTAATGATGCTAAATTGTAAGTAAGTAAAGTAAGATGGATAAATTCAAAAATGGATGATTTTGTCGTTCATCCCATGTCAATATATACGTTTTCTTTCAATTTGATTGTGAATTCGAAAAATTTTAACGACCCTGCACGATTACCCCGGTGACTAGCTTTAATTTCCATAAAAAATATTGAGTATGTTGATATTGTGTAACTACCCCTCACATATATAGTTAGCAAACTTGTTTTCGAAAATTGCAATGGATATATCTGATGTATCTCTCATCATTTGAACAACTGAAACTTGTAATTTTTCAAAAATATAAGTGATGAAATCACAAGTAGGTATTTGTACTGAAAAATAAATTGCCGTAATCATTGGTTATTGAAAGTGATCAGTGTTTTTGAAATCTTATTTCTTTTTGCCAATCTATTAGGAAGACATTGATATTATATTTAGTGAACATATACTAATATTTATTGCATATAATGTATTTAGACATACATTTAAATTTTATTTATTTTTCTTATTTCATTGGCTGAGATACTATCGTGCAATATTATCAGAACGACTGAATTCGTCATTAGATGGAACCGTACTTATTATTTCAAATTGTTTTTACTAGCAATTGTTTTTGCCATTATTGTATTTTTTATTGTTTGATAATGTATGAGAAAATTAGTACTTGTTCGGTTGTATAACGATATCACTGATATTACCAAAAATATTCGGAACGAATCTGAATATTTGCCAGCCTTTAAAAGATTTATTTTTTTATAAGAAATCGAATGTCTCATTCACTTGCAACTGTACATTTCTTGTTTCTAGTAGTAAGAATAAGTACTACTTTTCTGATTCGACTGCACTTTTTTATATGAGCAAGTGAAAACTTTGTATTATACAGATATACGCTATCTTTTCTTTAGTAGTAGTGCATTCCACGCTTGCTAATGACATTCCTTCGGCGCTGGAAGTAAAAATAATATATATTTTTCAAGTACTAACCAGACCGGCAGGGAGGGCGGCATCTCCCTACCTCTAAAAATCTCACAATCGTGGTCTCCCCAATCAGATAAGAACAGAAAAGTAATGTCTAAGCGCAGCGAACGTGATTCAAGGATACAGGGTATGTTTTTGCAATTATTTGTGTAACTGTTTCTTCATCGTGTGGGGCGGTACGAATTTCCGGGTCCGCATCCAATAGTGAGTCGCTAACTCGCTGTACGAAGAATTTTGATTGTCAGAATGAACTGTGCAAACAAAAAGAGCACATTTCGAAAACTCTGAAAGCATATTCATGTCTAAAAGAGTAAAACACATACTTCTTTGACGCCATCTCACATAACTACGCTCAGGACTGTGAGTTCTAGATTTTTCAACAATAAAAACTAGTATTATGAATACATTTTGCAGAGATTCTTCACTGGACAAGTGAATTCCAAAAATTTCCAAACACGTTCGTTCTGACCATTCAAGTCTCTCGTATTCCATCTCATCCCATGATGTAAATATATTGGGGTCCATTCAATGCACCGTTTTATACAAATATTAGGCCATTTCTGTCAAGGACAAGAAGTGTTCCTGTCTTCAATTCGAAAAATCATACTTTTTATAATTTTAGAGGCTAAAACATCTACAATAAGCGCTTAAAAATCATTGATCATTAACTTTTCTTTTAATCGG